TATCTTCAGATATTCCATCACAAGGAATGGTAAGACGACCATTGCCAGTACCCCTGGAATACCATATTTGGCCACCTTCTTCATAGTTTCTTTAATATTGGACTTGGTGGTCTTTTCCTGTAGCCCCATGATATTCTTCATAAGTGAGTCTTCTGTTGCTTCCATATTGGGTTTCATCATTTTCTTTGCCGGTTCTAAGACACTTCTCATAAGAGCTTCCTCTGTGTCTTTATATACTGAATCAACGGCTGCTACAACAAGCTTATTCATTGTCTGCACATCTTCTAGTAATTCAACCTTTACTTTGCCATCTTCAATGCGTTTATATATAACCCAATCATTTTTATTCTTATCTGGATCTTTATCATTCTCTTTTTCACGCAAGTATATATATATGTTCTGCTTCCTCTCCTGTGGTAATATCTTTTCCTCTACAGATTCCCTTGCTTCTTCTTTCTCTTTTCTTTTTAATAATTCTTCTATATTTTCTAAATCCCCTTCTCCCTGATGGTGAATTTTCTTAAATAGACTATTTTGGCACGTTAAATATAAGTCTTCCGCATATTCATCACCTATCGCTGACGCATCTTCATCGGGTGTAAACCCATCCGCACTTATTTTATTAATCTTCTTAAATAATCTATTGTTCTCTGTTATGTACATACTGTTATGATTGTCAGGTTCTGCTTCCTTTCCATAGCTGTTCAATAAACCGCATTCATTTATGTACTGCATTTTTTTATATAGACCCCTAGAGTACGTTACATATATTGTGTTAATTAGATGGTCTTCTTTCATCAATTCCTCTTTGTTCAGTAGATCAATCGAATTTCTTGATATATCTTTTCCAAACAATTCGTCTCTGCCAAGTTTTTCATTGGTGTTCATAGAACTACCTGCCACTTCGAATTTTGCGGGGTGTAACTTGTCACTCTGTTGACTAAAATCAGCTTTGATCTGCAATGTAGGTTGATAAGACGTGTATTCCTCCTTAAAAAGGTCATCTCTTAATAATGTTTCACGGTTGTTCATATGAAGAAATTTCTCTGGAACATCATCAGGCCTTTTTACATGCACTTGTTTCGATGCATGCTCCTTCTTTGATGAATCGTTCCTACTTATGATATCATCTATAGAATCAATCTCTGCTTCGGACGGCTCCTTTTTTGTTGCATAACTTTGTTTTACTTTCTGCATTCTCTTATACATCTCATTACTTCTCTTTATATAAGATTCCTCTCTGGATAGACCTTCCTCACAATATGTATCTGTGGTTGTATCATACGTATAATCATATGCTTCCTGTTCAAACTTTCCCTTCGGTGTATAAGTGCCTGTTGCAGCCCTTAATCTCTTCTGCAT